TAAAAATATATATTTTTAAATATTCACATGCAGACTTTCCCCTTTGACATCACTTCCTGTTATTTCACGTGCAAATATCTCAACTGTTCGTCTGAGCAACGTGAAATTAGTTTTGTAATAAGTTAATGTTGTTTTTACAAAAATGCGTCACTTTTCTTATAGAAGTTGACGTCACTTTTCATCTACAGTAAGCTGGGGTTAAGACCACTGTGGGTCCTAAAACTACACATTATAAGTTGTTAGAGGATTTCCTGAAATTAAATAAAGTTTAAAGCTGACTGCTGAGAATGTTTCTGCTGTAGTTAGCACTATAGCAGCACTCTCCATATAGCACTTTTAGATTTACTCCTTGTTTCGATGTGACGGCTCACATTAGTCTCTAAACGTGGTCTCCTGTCCTCCAGGGTCCAGGTACGGGATGCCCATCGACATGTGGTCCCTGGGCTGCATCCTGGCGGAGCTGCTGACTGGTTACCCCCTGCTGCCGGGCGAGGACGAGGCCGACCAGCTGGCCTGCATCATCGAGCTCCTGGGCATGCCCAGCCAGAAGCTCCTGGACGCCTCCAAGCGGGCCAAGAACTTCATGTCGTCCAAAGGTCACCCCCGCTACTGCACCGTGACCACCCTGCCCGACGGCAGCACCGTGCTGAACGGGGGGCGCTCGCGGCGCGGGAAGGCGCGCGGCCCCCCGGCCAGCAAGGACTGGAGCGCGGCGCTGAAGGGCTGCGAGGACGGCCTCTTCCTGGACTTCCTCAAGCACTGCCTGGAGTGGGACCCGGCGGTCCGCATGACGCCGAGCCAGGCGCTGCGCCACCCGTGGCTGAGGCGGCGGCTGCCCAAACCGCCCACGGGGACGACGGCGGGGGAGAAAACCCCCACCTCCAGGCGGGGCACCGCCACCGACGGCGCCATCACCTCCATCTCCAAACTGGCCGCCACCTCCTCCTCCACCTCCTCCTCTTCCAAAACTAGGACTAACCTGGCCGCCATCACCGACGCCAATGGGAACATCCAGACTCGGACGGTTCTCCCCAAGCTGGTGAGCTGAGAGTGAGCGGACCCCCGCTGTACAGCGGGGGGATAAAAACTTTCTGAACAAGCAGCTGGACGTGAATAAAACTGGTGTCCAGTTCTGAGGAGCGTCTGTTTCATTGCACTGCGGCTGTGTCGGAGGATTACAACATGCAAACCGTCCGGGCTCCACCGGACGCCGGGCTGAGGAACCCTGAGAAACCAGGGTGCGTTCAGGGGCGCCCCGGAAAAAACAATTGTCTTTATAGTTTGAGCCAAACGACAGGAAGTGAAAGCGCGTGGACTGACTGTGGTGCGTTTCAGACAATCGGAACACGGCACACCCTATCTGTAGCTTCAAACTCACAAACACACGAGAAACATGGTGCTAACAGAGGGAACAAGGCTTTTTAATTAGATTCACATGAATTAATCCGTTTATCACCAAAAATACTCAGTGACTAGTTTTTACTGGGATTRACCCTTTTAATGCTAAAGCTACAGGAGCGATTAGCTCGTCGGCTCTTGTTTCATTTGACTAAAAAACAATAATTTGTTGCATTTTAGTTCAGGGACGTTTACTGAAATGACTCTTTGATTTGAACATCTACCTGTCAGTTGGCTAAACTAACTGACCAGCTACCGTTTCATATTGACTAGCCCGTAGTACCATGCTAGCCCAAGTTAGCACAGTGCCTGTTAGCAGGCTAACTGTTAGCTGGCACAGATGAGACAGCTAAATGTTTGTGTTTAGCTGTCGTACTGCTACCTTTTTACAGTTTACCTGGCTAGCAGTTAGCCTAAGGTGTCAGCTAGCTGTAGCTAGCTCACTGTTTGCCTTCTTTGTCAGTCTTGAGGCTAACTTTAGCCTTTTATTAGCCATAGCATGTCAGCTCTCCACTGCCCGGCCTTATTGTAAAGTGTCATAATGACAACTTTTTTTTTTTTACAGTTTAGCTTTTTAACGTGTTTGTCGTCGAGGTTAGCATTTAGGCTAAACAAGARGTGTCTGTGAAGGACGTCTGTGTTCATCAGAACCAGTGCTTCCCTCTTTTTCAACCAAATATAAATTTTAAAAGTACAAAATGACCAATGAAGGAGTTGTTTAGAGGCAAGTTATAAAATGATGTTGAAATATTTTAAACAGCTTGTTTATTATTTGAGGGGAGAAGAAAAGAAGTCATGAAGTAGCAGATAGGTAAGTAAAAAACTTCATTAACCCTCAAAACAATTCCAAACAAACTTATAGTAACCAAAAAATTACTAAACAGGACCTGTTTACTATTTACTTATTCCTTTACATGTTTTATGTTTTTCAGTTTTACATGAAAAGAGGGGAACTTGTTTTGCTCCAGTTCATAATACATGGTTTTAGTGTTTTTAATTAATTTATTTAAACATCTTATTCTGAGCAAAAGGTTTTAAATTTGTGAGCTGAAAACAAATAAGGGAAGAAAAGTGATTTTATTTGCTGATAATAGACGATCTGATTATCAACCTAAACTGATAACATTATAAGGTTAAGATGAAGGATAAATATTCACTTATGTTAAACAAACCAACAGTTACGAAGTGAGTTTCTTCAGATTAATAATAAAAGTTGTACATTTTAACACCAATGTTGTCATCATATGAAGGACGGACTCCTCCAGATCGATCAGATTATTGATGGATTAATGATAAAGGTTCTGATGATCACACTTCACAGCCAACATGCTTCAGTATTGCTGAATGAACATTTTAATGTGACTGAATGACCCGTGTGTGAGGAGATGTAATTTATTTGCCACGTTTTAATATTTAATATCTGTGTATTTACTACGATGTGCAGTTTATATTGTATACTTGAACGTGTGTGTGTGAGTGTGTGAGTGTGTGTGTGTGTGTGAGTGTGTGTGTGTGTGTGTGCTGTACGGAGCGGAACGCGTGTGCAATATCTTAAAAAAAAACTTTCTTAAAGCTTGTTCCCTCACACACTCACACACACAAACACACACACGCGTATTTATAGAAATACTAAACAATTGTACCTGAATGCATCGTGAACAGTCAGAGGAGGGGGTTCTGAGGCTCCGCCTCTTGTAGCACACAGGAAGTGGACACTGACGCACAGGAGGAACTGTAAATGTAGATGCTTCTACATGCTCCGCCCATCTCAGGGGAAGCTCCGCCCCCTCCAGTGGGAGGAGGAGGAAGAGGAAGTGGGGAGGGGATCCTCTGTTTTTTTTTTTTTTTTTTTTTTTTTTTTTTTTTTTTTAGTTTTTTTTTCTAAAGATTTGATTGTAAGTTTATTTTGTTTAGGGGTTTTTATACATTTTTTTGTGAGACGGAGTGCTGAGAGATGTAACTTTGTGCCTTTTGTATCTTAATGCCATGCCCCGCCCACTCAACACACACACACACACACACACACTAGTTACTAACATACACAAAAATCTCAGCTGTGCTGATTGGTTCCTGGTTTGTTTTCATTTAGATTTAAACTCAGATCTGGTTTTAATGAGTGAAAAACTAACAAACGTTTTGACATAATTCTTAATTAAATAAATTAACAGCAGTACAGAGAGAGAAAACAACCTAAAGTTTATGCTAACTTAAGCTAAAGTATTCAARGTGTAAAAACAAATAAACATTCTTTTTTCTGCAAACAATAATCTGGATTACCAAATCTGTTAAATGAGAATTAATAATAATTTACAAAATAAATAATTGGACTTTAAATATAATATTTTTTTAGTCTCAAAGCTTTAAAAAAAACATTTGTGTTGTATTAGCTTAGCATGTAGCTAAGCGCTAACGTGCAGCTCTGGGTTTTGCCATTTGTTTAAAAAGACATTATTCAACACACAGTTACTTGTTGTGTTATTTTGCTAACACAGTGCCAGCTCCACACACTGAGGTCATTTTAAATTCAAGCATTTTTGTGCCTCAAAACTCATCCATACGTCGACCAGAGGAGGCTAATGCACCAAGCACAGATTGTAGCTTTAAATTCAGCTCATTCATGTGTGTGTCTGTGTGTGTGTGTTGGGGTAACGGAGGGTTGTACAACATGGCTGCACAATGTACAGACATATCAGCCAAATGTCGCCTCGTGACTCAAATACGACTGCTGACGACGAGGCTAAGCTAACACTAGCCGTTTGCTGCTTTGACGCGTTTTTCTTACAGTGAAGCTAACACTAGCCTACAGCTAACTGAATGCTAGTAGCAAATAGCAGCACACGCTGTTGGTATTGTTTTTGAAGCAGTTGTTTTTTTATGTTTGTACCTCAGATCGCATTACTCTTGTCATTGTTATGACTAACACCCAGGGCATTTGGTTTATCTACCAAAGTGCATTCCTTTACAAAGGTAGCTAGGCGCTAACTGCTAGCAGACGTCAGTCAGATAATACGACAAAAAGCAAAAAAAGCAGTGGAAAATAGGATTTTTTTAAAACAAAGTCTGGTTCAAATGTCTTCTTAGTAGCACTAAAAAAAAGTTTTTGCTAATGTGTGAAACAGTTACAGCCAACCTGTTAGCCGTTCGGCTTCTCTCGGGGGTCTTTGCAGCCACACGTTGTGTTTTCCGAGACGTTTGCCAGCTGGCCTCGTTGTTTGTTTTTATTTGTAAATAATGTGCACAGTGTTTTGAGGGTGAGAGTGTGAAATGCGCCACAGCGCGGCCAGTTTTACAACGTACTGTAACTACTGTACAGAACACAGAAGTCGACACTTTTCTAGTGAGCCTTTGTTAAATTTTATTGTGGTGGAAAATATTAATAAAAACAGTTTTATTGATCATGTTTACGTCCTTTATTTCAGCGCTTGTTTTCAGTTCAGGAAGCAGCAGCCATTTGTTTCAGTTTCACTTCTCTGATCATGAAGATGGAGGTTTGATCTCCTCGTTTGTCATGACAACAGCTTCCCAGGCGCTAATAGATTCAGAGTTATGCGGGGGGGGGGGGGGGGGG